GGTAATAGTAGACAACTCATTGGAGTAACATGAGAAACAACTTTGTTTGCATTGCATTTTCTGGAAGAGATCTTGGAAAACTATTGTGTCACTCTTATTGCTAGCAGAATCTATTGATGAGTTCACGAAACTGTGCCCTTGTAAATTATAATTGAGGAAGATTGTTTGAATAGATCGCTTTCTACATCGTCTGCTACTTGCTTGTTAACTAGATGTTCCTCTATCCTAGATTTAAGTTGTAGCATTCCATGCATCATTTATGTTCTGTGGATGGTTATTATCCTCTTACACACCTTTATTTTGACTCCAGATTATAAATCTGGACAACATGGTGAATGCCATCAAGGGACTGATGATTTCATGGTAAATGTTACAATGCTTTCACTAACTGTGACGCATTGCACGTCATGTTTCTGCATCTTGTTCTAGCTTTCTTTTAACCAACACCGTATTTCTGTCCATGCAGTGACGTACATGGCTCAATTCATCATCAACATGAATGCAGCACTACTCATCACTCATTTTTGTACGATCTGATGTTGCTGGAATGATAAGATCAGCCATTGCAGAATTCAGGGAGCAGAATACTTATGAGAAGCCTTCTTAATGCTTTCAAGTGAAGTTTAATGATGCCTCTGCAACAGTCTTTTGGTATATCAAAGCAGGCAGTTGCTTTATTCTTGATGGGTTGAAGGAAGAAGAAAATGAGATTTCTGAGCTTCACTTGATGTTACTAGTTCTTTCGGCTGTTAGTCAACCTAATGCTAAGCATGCATGGCATACAATTTTGTTATGACTACTATATAAATTTGGTTGCGGTTGCATTCTTAGAGATTGAAAGTGAGAACTTGAAGAGCTTATCAGTTAAACTCTGGATTTTTTTTTTTTATCTTCAGTTTTTTCAGGGTTCGAGTAAATTTAGCTTTCCTTTATTAACTGTTTTTGTTGCATTGCCAATGCTACTTGTTTGTTAACTACTGGATTTACGAGACAGATTTCTTTGAAGGTGACTGATATTTTCACAGAGTGCCAGTCTTCAATCACAATCCATTTCTTTACTACATTGATCATTTTCCCACTGGGAAAGCTTGTCCAATACTCGATTAATTTTTGGCATGCAAAGACTTAATATTTCGGCATCAAAGGAATTACTAGCAGTTCATGTAAATTCATTGCGTGTTAGACAAAGTGATCCAAATGAACTCACTCTATCGAAGCTGATTCTAATCCAAGAATGAAAATTATATTAATTCTGGAGTTGTAAAATGTTTAGCCTTAGACTTCACAAAAAAAAAAAAAAAAAAAAAGGGAGCACTGTCAACACTAAATTTTTATGATCATTGGTAGCGTACATTGCTAAAATAATTAGTGCAGTTTTCTACTCTTCCAAGCCTCTAGATCCAAAGCTTGCACGGGCTTCCCTGGTTCGGACCGAACTTCATTACTACAGGGCAACTAGGCTAAATAAACTCGTACCAAGTAGCGCGACTTCAAGTTCGTAACTGGAAAACGCACTTTTGCCCTCGCGCGTTTCCATCAGATGTCATAAACAGCCTTTCTCTTGCCTCTTCCTCGGTCACTCTATCCAGCAACGATGGCAGTAGTCTCTCTCCATCCCGCCACTTCTTCATGTCTCCGCTCCAGCACTAGAACCCCTCAGCCTTCTCTCAGGTACCCTTTCTCTTCCACTTAGAAATTTATTTTCTATATGCTTTCTGGACACAGAAATTAAGAAAAAAATGAAAAAAAAAGCATCTTTTTTCCTTCATAACTCTGGAATCTTTTTCTGTGTGTTTTGCAGTTGTGCAAGCAAAGTCTATGTGGGTTTAAGGGTTCAATGCCCAAGTATGTGAAATTCATTAAGTTAATTGCTTTATCTCTTATGGGTTTTGGAGGTTTGGTGAACTTCAGCTTTATTATTATTATTATTATTATTTTTTTAACAGATTCTTATGGGATTTCAAAAAACAACCTGAATGTCGAATTCTATAACAGAGTTTACCAAAGCATCGAATCCAGGTAGGCTTTGGGCTCCATTTTATGGGTTTTCAGTTTTCTTTTCTTTTCTCTTTTTTGGCTTCAAATGTTCATTGATCATATTTATGGATTAATTAGGTCTTTCAAGTTAATTGGGTAATATTAGTTGGTGAATTTTGTTCGGTGAGCTAGAATTTGTGAAAATTTTCTGGAAAATTTTTAAAGGAGTGAGTCACTTATTTGGCAGGCTAATTTGTCTACTTGATTTTGCAACCTTTTAGCTGGGTGATATTGCATTGACGTATTTATATTCTGATGATTCACTGAATTATCAGGTAAAAATACAGGAAATGCACCACCCTTGCTACCAAGTCCCCTTCTTTTGTGGGCCACGTTGAATTTTGTTGGGCTAGGAAGGGTTAAGGCGAAAGTTCAGAGTTCTTACAACTCTTTTTTTTTTTTTTGGCTATTGGGCCAATTGGTGTAATATTAAGTTTGATGAAAGAGTTTGAATGTTCATCCTGAATTCTTGTCTTACATTTGATGAAATTACAAGCATCAGGTCGGCGGAGAGATTGAGGTTGTGGCAGGGCAGCTCCCAAACTACTTCTCCCCTTGCTTCCAGCTTTTTACTCCTTGTGCAAATTTTATATTAGTAGATGCGAGATTATTGTGCCAGGCTGGTTTCCTTAGTTGCTTTTCTTGCTATGCAATGTGTATATTTTAGTGCATGCTTTTGATTTGCCTACAAGCATTTCTTTAGAAGATTTGAAAATTTCTGATGTGTCGTTCCTGGTGGCAAAGCATAAGTTTCTGGTTAATATCGGCATATATGCCTATGAAGATACAAAACTGTGTGTATAAGCACAAGAATGTTTCAATTTTATGTCACCATTGTCTGTGTACAAGGTCCACATCTGCTATACTGCATCATGCCACATAAAACATTTTTAGTAGAATGTATTGAATCTATTCATTTCTTCATTTCCAGATCATGTGACACTAAGGCAACTCGTGCACGTATTACAATGATGCCGATAGGGACACCAAGAGTGCCTTACAGAAATGTGACTGAAGGGACTTGGCAGTGGGTAGATTTGTGGAATGCTCTTGTAAGTCAATTGGCTGCTTTCTACAACTTAGATGTAACTCATGCAATTCTAGTTGTCTGGAGTTCATACATATTGGAATATACAACCAAACAATTGACCTAGATCATTTGTGTTTCAACTGTTCCTTTTTTGAGCCTAAGTTAATGGGTGGATTCTCATCCTTACAAAATTCTTGCCTAATTTTTCTGTGTGATCTTTGCTTGTTCCTTTTCTTGCATAAAAAAGTAGTTCACCAAGTTTTCTGATGCAGTATCGTGAACGTGTTATATTTATTGGGCAAAATATAGATGAAGAATTCAGCAATCAGATACTGGCAACCATGCTGTACCTTGACAGCATTGAAGACTCCAAGAAGCTGTACATGTATATCAATGGCCCTGGTGGGGATGTGAGTTGGTTATTTAAACTTCTGTACAAATTAATTTTTGGTTTTGTTTTCACATCTTCTTGCTTCTGGTGTAGCTCTCATTTTTTCTGAAATTTCCTCCTTTTGCAGCTTACTCCAAGCATGGCTATATATGACACGATGCAGAGCTTGAAAAGCCCTGTTGCCACCCACTGTGTGGGCTATGCCTATAATCTGGCTGGCTTTCTTCTTGCTGCAGGTGAAAAGGTAATGATTTCTTCTGAAAAAGTCAAATATCAGGCTTATTGCTGTCTGATATACGTCATTTTGATCAGTTAACTAAACTATCACAGATCTATTAGTAGTTATAGATCACAATTTTATCTACTTAAAAGGACTTTCAGTTGGTTTATGTTTGATAGTGTTCTGTAAGAGTGTATGTATAGGGTAGAATTATTTGCATTTTGCTTTCTTATGCTGTTGTTTCACTACAAGTGATCTCTTTTAATAACATGACCGACTTTCGGTTCTCTCTGACCATTGAGCCTTTTGACATCTTATGATCTAAAGGGCAATCGATTTGCAATGCCACTTTCAAGAATTGCATTACAATCTCCTGCTGGGGCTGCTCGGGGCCAGGTGCAATTATAGCCCTCTTTATTATTCTATGAGTTTGACTCCAATAGTTTCTTTTAAACGTAATGATGATTACCCTTTTTTGTTGGGCAGGCTGATGACATTCGTAATGAAGCAGACGAACTTATCAGAATTAGGGATTACCTCTTCAAGGAGTTGGCACAGAAAACTGGCCAACCAGTTGAAAAGGTATGGCTTGCCATATCCGCTCTCAGATTGACTGATAAAATTGTTTTTTAAAGTTTTAAAGAACGTGGAAGTGGCAAACTTCTCTGTCTCATCTTCCTTCTTGTCAATTTGCGTATTTTATTTTGTCTGGCTTATCAGCGTAATAGCTGAATGTTGTTGTGCAGATTCACAAGGATTTAAGTCGAATGAAGCGGTTCAATGCTCAAGAAGCCCTTGAATATGGTCTTATTGATCGCATAGTAAGGCCTCCACGTATTAAGGCTGATGCTCCAAAGAAGGAGTCTACAGGTCTTGGTTAGCTTATTCATTGCTTGTCACAGACAAATGAAAAGGTTGTTGACTATTTATACCAGAGAAGATATTCCTGAGTTTTGAGGTGATGAATCGAATGAATTGGCGACTGTGTAATTGATGCTTGCCTTTCGTCATCTACTGGCTTACATACTGAATTATTTTCATATTTTTCCTGAATCTCTTGAAGTTTTCTTTTGCTAGATCTCACTCTAAGCAGAAGATATCATGGGGAATATTAAATTTTCATTTTTAGATAATGTAGTGGGGTTGCTGCTAGGGCATGGTGGGACAACTATAGGCTGCCATTATTCTAGCAGGGCTCTTCTCTTGCTTGAGTAGCAGATATAGCAGAATATGCTGCCATGTCTACGCGCAATAAGTATGTTGGTGTTTGTGGAGCAGACCCTGCAGTTTCTTATTTTAGAAGTGGAATCTGCTTGCAAAATCATGACCTTAAGTTTCTACCGTAGATAGGAGTTGCTTAACATCGGCCCTTCACATAGATTATGATATATTGGCTTTGCCGAATGCGGTTGACCACATGATCATAAGCACATTCTTGGGAGAAAGGGATATTTAATCTGGAGATGAGCTTTTCCAGTAAATGGCAAAGCAGAGAAATATATCATCACTGGTGTTGAGGATAACCTTTGTTTCATTTAACAAATCATTATCGCCACAAAGTTGTGGTCAACTGAATAATATGAGTGGACTTTTTCAAGTTTAAATGAGCACTTACAGAAACCATTGAGAACTTACACTGGCTTTGTTTGGATAGGAGTTTATTTGGATGATTTATTTGATATAATTACTGTAATACTTTTTGGCTTTGTTTGGATAGGAGTTTATTTGGATGATTTATTTGATATAATTACTGTAATACTTTTTGTGATGTGATGTATGTGAAATAAAAAGACGATTGGAAAGATAAAAGGGTGATTGAAATTTGTAAAGTAAATTATTTTATTTCAAAACATTTCAATCCAAACTTGCTTCAAACACGAAATAAATGACCAAATCATACTTTCTCGCAAGTACATAAGGTATGATTGATTTACTGGTAATATATTTAGCTAGTTTTTATTTTTAACAAAAAAAAAAAAAAAACACGCACAAGCACATGCACGAATGCATGCACCTACACCAAGCTTTGACTGTACAAACTGTACTTGCACAATGAAGATGACAGCCCCATAAAAAGGAGAGGCATGTAATCTTCAAACTGAGGGAAAAACAAGAAAAAAGGAATCATAAAACCCAACTATCATAGTCCACCAGAGCTTCTGAAACTTGAACAAGGGATCTCTTAAAATCTAGTCCACTTGTATGCAGTCGAGCTTGTCTGCTAATAGCTCTTCTTTCCAACCACTGATGACTTTGGCTATGAAAGCCTCAATTCTAGTCTCTAAAGTTTCATCATATTCTTCATCATCATTACCCCAACCAATTTCATCATTACTGTCGCTATCATCGTCATCATCATCTTCTTCTTTTTCTTCTTCATCATCATCACCATCGCTGCTGCTAGCAGAGCTGCTTTCGATATCATCACGGATCATCTCTTCACTTTGTTTTTCTTCTGCTTGGTCATAAAAGTCTCCACAAGGCAAGAATTCGGTGTAGTATTCTGCAGATGGCCTATAACTTTTGACAAGAATGGAGCTTATAATGGTATTAGACAAAATAAACACAAAAGCTCGGCTGGTGGAACGCTCAACGAGGCCGCCATATGATGACAATGAGCAACTTAGTAGCACCAGATGAGTTGCCGCCCCAACCAAGATTATGAGCAGAAAAATGAGCTCCAACCCAAATTTCATGCCCTGTAAATTGCAATATACAAAAAAAAAAAAAGAAAAAAGAAAAGGTGGTGCTATCTGTGTTGGGAAGACGTTGGCTCCATCTTTTTATAGTGATCTTTTGTTAGCAAAATACTGCAAGGGTTTCTTCTCAGAAAATTAACGCTGGGAGGTTGATCCAAGCAAAATTGCATCATGAGAAATGAGTTAGTCCACATAAGCTGCTTAAAGCTTTTCTGCGTGTACCACGAAATTCCCTGAAATGGTAAAATATGTTATTTCTCTTCTATTGTTCTAATAAGAAATGCAATAACACAACTGATCAGTTCGGTTTTGAACTTTAAACAGGGTGAGTTGAGGTGTTGCCGTGGAAGTTTTCTCATCCGCATGTACTATAAATTAGCCATTGATAGAACTCTCGTTGGTCTCTATCTTCAAAAACTGAGTGCTGCCTTGGACAACATTAATTTGTGCAATTTTACAATATTCATGACAGAATGCTGCTTTGTAACTAATCTAAACATATTATTGTATTGCCATTGACTTGCTTTTTTTTTTCTTTTTTATTGAATGGTGCATTTACTGGGCGCAGTTTGCGTTTGAGTATCTTCCAAGAAAGAACAAGAAACCCTCCTGTTCAAGGAAGAACCAGCGAAATAAACACATTCATCCTTCTTTCCCAGATTAAAATTGTCAACAATTCTATGCCTAATTTCCAATGAACTGAAATTTCATGTTTGGCTCCATCAACTTTCTTTTCTCTTTCCTTTTTTTTTTTCTTTTTTGGGTTGGCTTCAGTCTGATCCGACATCCTTCCCATGTTAAAAGAGGTGGCGGCGGATATGCTCAAAATCTAGGGATAAGGAGAAATATTACTACATAGATAGTGTGGTCAAATCAAAATACAATTTGCGTATTCTGAAAAAAAAATTTCGGCATAATATATTGTACCTCAAAATAAATTTAACCACAGGCCAAACAAATATTCATACTAAATAAATTGTGGAAAACTGAAAACTGCGCATTTGGTAGTGAAGTTATTTATCATTGTCTGATTTAAGGTTCGATTGCTATGGGAGCACAATGCTCTATAATTAGTTAGATTAATAAATGTTAGTTACCTTTGTCTTCTCTTCATTCTCCTTTACGTCAGATAATTTTTTAACCCAAATACAGCGCCAGATATGGTCTGTTTCCAATTGATCAATTTCCTCAATATCAAGTTTATTGGATTCTTCTTGGTCCTTTATCTTCTCTCCCTCTCTCTCTTCCCCTTTTTCCTTTTTGGTTGAGGACAAGGGCTTCAGGTTACTTTGAAAAGGCTTTCTGTGTACGTTTTAATTTTTTTTTCCCCGGGAGGAGCCTCGACAGCAGGACGACACCAAGGGAACTTTCAGGTTGACGTTGATTTATGATTCTTGGTGTGATGGAGAAAGAAAGCATAAAACTTTTGCAAGAACTTTCACAGAAAAATACAAAGACCGAAAAAGTGTGAAACCAAGAAATTTATGTACCGTACCAGTACTTAATAAATCATTTTCCACGTCTATGTGCAATTTCCGGCTTTACGGTAGCTAGCGTAAACAGATGAAGTTAAAAAACAAAAAAAAAAAAAAAAGTGTGGATTTGACGATAATCTCCAATTCGGGCAATCAGTTGTCAACATTAGTAACATTTTGCGCATTTACTCTTTACTCTTGACTTAACGTCTCTTCCTCAACACCAAAAAAGGAATTGGAACCTTCGAGGAAATTACAGCTTTGAAAAGATTGATATATCGGCCAAATTCTGAAATATTTTTCTACTACATAGAAGAGAGTAATTGAATCCAGACAGGCAGCGTGTAAAGTCATGGACCGCAAAAGGCAAGAATGTCAACAGGGACTGAAATCACAACGCATATGCTCAGATAAGAATTGAACTTCAGAAGTCAATAATTTTACATCTAAAAAACATTCTACAACAGGAAACAGGCGAAGAAGCCGGTCCGGCTTAATGCACTAAACTAGTTAAATTTACTCCAACAAACCTCACTGGAAATCAACATGCCGGTACTAGGATTACAAACAAACAACAGGAGGGGTGAGATTCATAATTCTGGACAAATACCAATGCGGTTGGTCAGTCACGAACTTCTGCGTAGACGGGGGGGCCGAAATTTTATTAACCATGCAGAGTTACGTTGATGTCAGCTGGCTTATTCCTTGAATCAGGCGGCATCGATGACCAATTTTCTCCACGGAAGGAAGAGGAAGTGCGATATGGGTCCTCGACTTCTGCACTCGAGATAGGATAAGCAACAGATGGGTTCACTGTTATGTGGTCAGCCTTTTGCTTCTTGGTCTTCGGCTCGTGTTGGTTTCCAGCCAGGAAGCTGCCTACAACGATCTGGTTCATGCCAAAAAAGTGAAATCATCAGAACCTATGGTCGGACGTCAATTTGGAAGACGATTCTAATCATTAGAAGAATCCAAAAAGCTCCTCCTTAAATGAAGCAGAAGAGGAATAGGTAAGGCAGAAACATAAAGTTAGTACCTGGACAGGACTAGCAGCAACTAGTAGACCAGCAACTCCGCCACCAACAACACGTCCGTCAGGGCTTGCTAAAGAGACGCTCATACCACCAGATCTGTTCCTTATCCCTCCAGTCTCAGATGGCATGAATGATCCAGTTAACGAGAGTATCTCAAAACGACCCTGCCAGAACAAAAATGGTTAACCATAACAAATGTGTCAACGCTAAAGCAACAAAAATTTAATCGACCAATTGGCACTCAACAAGTAACATCTGAAGCTTTTACATACGCAATCCAAACAATTCAACATGGTCATGCTGGTTCAACTGCAACTCAACAGAGCGATAGATCCTTTTCCAGAAAGAAATATAGGGTGAGAAAAAAGTCCACCCTATATTTTGCACAAAACTTGCCAGAACGTAGAATCTGACGGTATTTTTCACTCAAGTGGAATAAGAGACCAATAAGAATCTCAAGAAACATAATAATTCAGTTGTGAATTAAGGGACTGTAGTAGGATTCCCAACAATCCATCTAAAATATTATAACTCTTCCAAACATGCAAAAAAATCCATTTTCAAAGCTCTGTACACAGTTCAACTTCAGCTTCAGAGAAGCATCCATCCTGGCAAACTAGATTAGCGAAGAAGATAGCAAAGTCCATAGTGGCCAAAAGTTCAAAGAGTATATCCCGATTACAGATACTACACATATAAGTTAACAGTTAATCAAAGCACTAGACATAGAGAACCCAAATTCAGACAAATTTCGTAAATCGCCTTAATGACTAAAAGGAGGCGACAAAGTAGTGGTTAATATATCCACACTGTTAACCATATAAAGAAAATAATTGACAAGTCACAGCACCTCATATGTCAATGTACCACCAGAAGAATCAGGCTGACGAAGAGTGACACTTGAAATTACACCATTAGCAGACAGAATACATATGGCTCTAGGCCCCTGCTGAGAGAATGATATTACCTTCATGGTGACATCCTGGAAAACCAAACAATAATCAGTATCGTGAACTTCAACCAATAGCTTCATTTTCATGAAAATTTCAAGATGAAAATTTGAAACTACAGAGTTCTTCCTTAGAAAGCCAATTATGTCCCCTAAAATGTCCAAACCAGCACTAATTATTAAGTAGAAAACTTTTCACAGACCTCCAGTAGTTAGAAATTTTCAAACAGTAGAGACATCTATTTAAACTTGATGTTGTACTTTGACTCTTATTTTCCAGTAATAGGTTACATCTCTAGCTCAAGATATTAAAGTTTCACTCAAAAAGGAATTAAAAAAAATTTTAAGTCTCATTAAGAGCAGAAAGCAAAATTTTGCAAAAACTGACAACTAATTGATTAGACTATCATACCTCTCCCGCATTAACAGTAATAATATGGGGTGTAAAATTAGCTCCAACCGAGCATGAAACCCATTCACCTGCAGACAACAGGAAAAAAAAGGTTCTAATTATGCGCCAAAAAATATCTTCACATTCTGCATTGAATTTTTTCAATTTGCTAAGAGCTTGAACTGAAAAACAACATTCACAAAGGGAAGCAATGCATAAAAACGTACAAAAAAATTTTTAAAAAAATGAAAGCAATGCCGTTAGTTTTCCTTCAGCTAGAACAGCAAGTTAAAACGATGATGTTAAGCAGTACGCAAAAGATGCATTCTCAAAAAGATGCTCTGTACTATATGTGTTTTGCAAAGGACCAAATATCCTCATCCAAAATCTACTGGCACAAAGCAGCTGAGATACTAACTTGGTAGATACTAGGGATAGTGCTTCAACAAACAAATAGGGCAGTGGCAATCAAAACCGCTAGAGCCAAAAAACATAAAAAGTTTAAGTTTGGCTAAGAGCGTAGCACATGGACAGCAGACTGAATGCCATAACTTCAAAAAGACCAGCTTTCTAACAGAATCAGAATAAATGCAATGTGTCATGCTGATGAACTTCCAGGCGCTTTAGCAATTTGCAAAAAGCAACAATCCATAACAAGTTAGTATGCCCTAAAATTAGTAAGCAACCACTCCTGTCATTTTATGCATTAGATCAAGAAGGTCCATAATCGAATACAGCTTTACCATTTACTGGAAAAGTATTTACCAGACAATACAAAGTACACAAGAAAACAGCTTCCACGATCACATCCCTCTTCCCCCGGAAAAGTGAGAAGCACCAAACAAACATTTAAGTCTAATTCCCTCATTCTTCCACACCAACCGAAAAAACAAACCTGACTTTCAGAAACCACGTATTAACATCAAGATCTTAGTTGGGGCATCTATTCACAGGTCCCACAACTACAACCTAACATCATCTCCTAAAACCCCTTCACAAACTATGCTCTCGTATCCAAACAAAATATACATTAATCCCACTACCAAAACCCGTTAACATGCATGCAAGATACGAGCTTTAACAAAAACTCAGCTACAGAATTAAGCCAGGAAAGGTGAACTTTAGTACTTTACCATTACCTAGGCCTTCCATCTCCACCCTAGGCTGGTGGTGCTTGCCAGATGACCCAGCTGGTCGGACTTTCCCACGTTTCTCCGACGAGAAGTCAATCACCGGAGGCGGTACCGACGACGAAATTGGCTTAGGGGAGAGTGCCATACTAGTTACTGACCCATCTGGGCCGTATTTTCGAGGCCTGCCCCTCTTCTTCTTCGCTGTGGTGGTGGCAGCCACCATTCCG